CTTGGTCCACATACAGTTTGTTTGAAACACTTTAGCATGTCCAAGGCCAATATTGGAGGGTAATTTAGTTATAGTTTTAGTTTGCTAAGAATTTTCCGATGATACTTGTTGAGGCATGCAGCCCTTGATTATTCATGAATTTCAGCATTTGTAGTTGTCATTTTGAATTCACAGTAACTTCTAATTATAAAAGGCATTCAAAACATTAAGGGTATCTCAATATGGTTAACCTCTATTCAAAAAATTAAATTCCCTGGTATAGTGAGTGAATCCCTTCACCCCAGCATTTATAGTTTAACAAGTATGTTTTCTATAAAAGACTCACTTTTTATATAGACCTCATTTTAGCAATAATATTTTGTAAATTAAGCCTTGCCTTTTGTAAAAGGGGAACTTCCACTGCATGGAAAAGGAAGCAAAAAGCTTTTTTTGGAAAAACATGGTGTTTAATGCCCCTGTTTTCCTAGAGAGCACATATTATTTTCCCATAATAATGTACCACAGTCTTCCTTTACTGTAGGTGTGTCAATGTTGTAGGGGCACTGTCATAAAAGACTGAAAACCTGTCGAGTAAAATACTTGAGTTTGAAATCTATACAACTGTTAAGTACCACTTCAGGGGAGATATCCCCCACAACTAACAGAATAATTAATCTTCTTTTTTCTAGTTTCAAAGGCATCCGTGATGACTTAGAGTTCCTTCTTAAAGAGGATTTATCGTCTATTAATCACTGCGTCCTTCACTGCGAACTTAGAAATACCGAAGAGTTGTTGTCATCATTGGGTTTGTTTTTGTACAAAGTGTGTTCACTTGATGAATGTGATGCCGAATTGGCAAATTATGGCCCTGAGAATTTTAGCAGCAGAATAACAGTGAAGATGAAGGAGGGCCAAGAAACTGCTGTTGAAAAGCACAACATCCAGGTGTCTTCATTTTCAGGTACCTTCTATATTGTTTCATTTTTATCATGATTGCTTTCATTTTTATCCACTTCAGGGCTTTTACTTTTGTGCTGTAGCAGCTGCTTGAGTTTCATTTGTACAATACCTTGATCCTTCATATGAAAACTGTAACACTGGTTTGTAATGAAGATTTCATTAAGTTGTGAATTTAAATCCTGTTTGTTTCTTTCTGTACTATTTTTCCTGAAGGTTCTACTGAACGTGAGTTCCTCACAAACATTGAAACGATTGTCAGGAACTCCTTGCTTCATGACAAATTGAAGTCATATTTTTTAAGAGGCACTCCTGAATAAGGTCACAATATTTTGTAATGATAGAATCAAGGTATGGCTCAGGATATCACATGATTTGAATGTTTCACTTAAACCAGTGCAACACACAATAATATTTTTTGTGTAGTATGTAGAAACAATTACACTGAAAAAAATGGTTTCTGTTTAAAATATTCAATGAATTTTTAAAAATTTGTTTTAGTACTGTCAGGACATGGCTATTTCAGACACATTTACCAGACACTTTGGTTCAATTAAATCAAAGGAGGAGACTATTACCCTCACAGGTTCAGGTACATGTTACAGTCATTATACTGTTATTTAAAACCTTTCCTTCCGTTTGACTGTGATGAACTAGACAGTTTGAATTAATGACTGCAGGCTAGCTAGCACTGTTAGTATTAATATAACCCCATGACGTGACCATTGTGTATCAAGAGTACATCATTTTGCATCAGATTATTTCATCCCAACTGAGTGAATGTTCCTTTATAGCATGTAAAGCACACCCAGTGGTTTGTGTTCTTGCATAATAGTCCTCCCTTAAAAAGAATACCCCCTTACACTTCGTGATGTGACTACCTAACCTGTTTTCCTTAGAAACTGGAAAAGAAGTTCAAAGAAGACTGGAATTCTAGCTCGCAGAGTAGGTTACGTGAAATCGAGGAAAGATATGTGGAGCTGTCTAAGAAGTGTGTTGGTGGGTCGGTTGCTAAAGGGAAACGAGGAAAGAAAAGGCAGAAGGTGGACAATGCTGATCTTTCTCAGCTATGTGATTATGCAGCAGAAGTGTTCTACCAATTTCTTTTTAAAGGTAATCAAATAATCAAGTCTTTTTTACTTAATTGGAAGACACATTAGACAGTTTTATGAGAAGTAAGATATGGGGCAAAATCCAGACACGTTAAGTTAAAACTAGTCAAGTTGATTTTGCTTTTTTGAACAAAATTCTTAACTTTAACAAGTGGCAGTTACAAAACACAGGTCACAAGGGAAGGTGATCGATCACTGCATGCTCTTATAAAAAAAACTGAGATAGGCATGCAGTTTCCCCTTAACTTAAAACACCTCATTTCAGATTGTAATTTGGGCTTTTCGTTATTATTCATTTTGATTTCAGGTTTACACCGACTGGAAAGACATTTCTGAAGTTATTAGAAGTACTGTCTTCGAGGAAGATTAGCAAGACTTAATTGACATTGTTGACATTAACAGGTATGTGTTAGGTATTTCACTTTTAGTAAGAGTGTAAAGGGGCAATTCCACCGTTACGGACATTACACTCAGAGAGCATTTTTTAACTTTGATCTCCTTTCCTGTTCACAATATGCAGTATAATTTGTTTCCTTCAAATGTTTCATAATCACAGGAACTGAGCCTTAAAAGTCGTGATTAAAATTGACGGTTGTTTTAGCTGTAATGTCTGTAACAGGCCTTTCAGTCAAAATCAGAGGGAGCTAAAAATTTGTTCTCTGAGTATTTTTTTATTGTGCAAAAGGCAAGTCATTATGGTGCAATGTGGTTGATACAAAACAGCAATTTAATGCATATTTTTTATTGGCAAATGCTCAAAGTTGTCCTTCAGTCACATTAAATTTCTCTGAGGTCTATCTTAACTGCTTTGGTTCCCTAAAAGGTTGTGTTATGGACATTACACCAAGTGTTACGGACATTACTGTCTGTGAATTTTTTCTTGAAAATTATATTATGTGTACTATGATGCTAAAAAAATTGCTTATTTCATTTATTTTTATGTGTTAAGTTTACCATCAGCAATGTATAGAAGCCCTGAAAATTAAATGAAAACAAAAGCACACAAAAGCTGTTTTGTAATTATAGCTGGTCAGCGCATTCCTTTTCAGAGCATGCTCTGAACATTCTTTGAAAGAAAACGACTGACCAGTAGTTTTAATCAAATTATGACATCTCATTGTACTCTGAAAGTTACATAAACAAGATGGTTGTCTTTTCTAAAAAAAATGTCAAAACTGTGAACAGGGGCTGAAAGGGCCAGAACTTTTAGAACAAGACTCAAAGTAGATGTTGAGAGGTATAAGGCCTATAAGAACAAAAACAAAGAAAGGAAAAGAGTGCAAAGAAAAGGTCAAGCCCTTAGTCCAAGTGAAGTTGCAAGAAGGAAGAAACTCATCCGTGAAAGAGTCCGAAAATACAGGCAAAGACAAAAAGAGAAGAAAGCAAAAAACTCTTCCCAAGACCAAGATGTATCACAAGCTTACCAAACACCTCAAGCGCTAGGAAAGGCTCTTGGTAAGGTCAGCAGCAGAGTGCTTCCCCAACGCCCCAAAAAACGAAAGGCTGTGGTTTTCAAACTAGCACATGCTTCAGGTTTTCTTAGGAAAAAGAAGTGCACTAGAGGTAACAGAGGTCTTCCAAAAGAGACAGTAAATCTTGTTAAAGTTTTCTTTCAGCTTGACTCCATCTCTCGCCAAGCACCAGGCAGAAAAGACTTTGTCACTGTTCGGGAAAACAACACAAAACATCATATCCAGAAAAGGCACTTGTTGTGGTTCCTAAGGGAATGTTATAGCATATTCATGAAAGAAAACCCCACCACTGAGATTGGCTTTAGTAAGTTTTGCTCCTTAAGGCCAGTGAATGTCTTGCTTTCTGCTGACATGCCTAGAGATGTTTGTCAAAATGCTTTGTGAGAGCCTGCATAAAGAAATAGATGATTTTCCACTGTACTCAGGAAGTTTTGCAGAAAATTTTGTTTGCAACCCTGAGTTAGAACTTTGCATGCTTGGCAAATGTAAAAAGTGTGCAAAATGCCCCAGCTTGTTGCAAAAAACAAGGTCAAGTGTAGGAAACCTTGATGAGCATGCAACATGGTATCAGTGGGAGCATGTGGAACAAATGGTGCAGGCAAAGAAAGGAAAAAGCATGAAAGGTAAAGAAAATTCAGAAAGTTCTGAAAGAGAGTACTGTTGATGATTTACTGGAAGATCTAGAAGTTCAGCTGCCATCATTCTTAGAACATGTGTTTGTAAAGCGACAACAGGCAAGAATTTTCAAAGAGAAGATGGAACATCTGACAGAGGAAGAGGCAGTGGTGCAAGTTGATTTTGCTGAAAATTTCAGCTGCAAGTACCAGGGAGAAGTTCAGTCAGCACACTGGAGCCAAGACCAAGTTACCCTGTTCACTGTTGCAATCTGGACAAAGTCTGGAGACAAAAACAGCTGTTGTGAATCTCACGTCATTGTTTCAGATGATTTGAAGCATGACAAAACATCTGTTGCCGTGTTCATGTGCAAAGTAAGGACTGTTGTCAACGACCTTGTGAAGGGGAGTCACCCAAACATAACTTGAGTTAGGATATTTTCAGATGGACCAAGCTCGCAGTTCAAGAACAGGTACATTGCCCATTTTCTCCATTTACTTCAAGGTCAAGGTCTTAACATCCAGTGGAACTACTTTGCCACATCACATGGGAAAGGGGCTGTTTATGGTATCGGGTGAACTGTGAAGTGCATGGTTTGGAATGCTGTATCCACAAGAAAGGGGGAAGCAGTCAAAGATGCTTGCTCTTTTGCAAGTGTTGCAAATAAGTTGAGCACATCTGTTGCGGTGACCTTTGTTGGATCTAAAGAATTAGAAGCTACTGCAGACTTACTTGGATTAAAGAAATTATTCTCTGTTGCACCAGTAATCCCAGGTATTGCCAAATTTCACAGCTTAGAACCACTCAGGAATGGCCTTTCAATATTCGTTGCCGTACTTTCTCTTACCAGAGTACCTGGATTGAAATGGGTGTCCAGTTTTCTGGTTCAGAAAATGAAGACCTGAATCAAAATGATAGTGATGATCAAGACTCTTCCTCTCTATGCAAGGGAAGCAACAGTACCAGCAGTGCTGATGAAGACGAGACCAGTGAAGAGAAAGGAGACTTTTTCAGCAATGCGTCAAGAAACAGCCATCACCCGTACAAAGAAGGTTCAAGTGAGAGCAGTAAGGAAGACAGTAAAAATCATGATGAAGAGGGTGACTCGAGTGAAGAAGAAGGTTTGACTTGACACAAAGGTTCAGGTGGTCCAGATGCGAAAGAAAGAGCCAGCAATGCAAATAAAAGTTCAAGTGACGAGGAAGAGATGTCAGAGAAGAAAGATATCCAAGTTTAGCAGTGCCTTCCTGACAAGCTACTGTCACCGATATATTCAAAGAATGTGCTTTGTTCAGCCTTCCACATCATTTAGACTGCCAAGTTAGTGCAGTTTCTGATGGCTGGATTAGCTTTGAAGGAGGTGGTATGATTCAAAATGATGATCTTAATGGTTTAATGGCAGGGGGAAGAAAATCCAAGATAAATGGTTGTCCAACTTTATTATTGATGAATACCTGAGGCTTATTCAAGTGACTTGCGCAGCTAACAACAGTTTGGCAGTTGAAACCTTGCCATGGGAATTGTTTGAGAGAGCAGTTGGTTCACTACCAGTGCATCGCTTGTTGAAAGGGAGAAGTCCACTTCTGCTTCAGGATGTAGTCCTTGTGCCATGCAATACCCCAGAGTCTGAGCACTGGACTCTCCTAGCAGTTCTGCCAAAGGAGAAATCTGTTGTTGTCTTAGACAGTATGCCAAGTAACCACATTAAACATACAAGTCTTGATGCTATTTCTAAGATGTGTGGCCTTCTCAAAGAGATCAACAGCAATGTAGACCTGAATCAGTGCAAGCTTATAGTGAACAAAAAAGGAGATGTTCCTGAACAGACCAATGACTATGACTGTGGAGTGTTCACTTGCTTGTATGCAAGATGCTTGCAGGGTTGGTTATGGTGAGATAATCAGTGATGCCAGCATCTCAGATTTCAGGAAACTCATGCTGTTGGAATTGCATCAAAGAAAGCTACTGTGACCCAATTCCACCAGAAGGCATCCTACCTGAGCAGTATTATGCTGTTGAATATGTGGAAACTTACTACATTGGACATGCGCTCACAGTCAAGCTGATAGCTTTGTAAGATTCAAGTTCCTCCATCGAGTGGGTGCAAAGAGTTTTGACTGGCCCAGGCGGGATGACGTTGATGATGTTCACATCTCTTGTGTGTTTTATGGCCCCGTCACCCTAGACACTGCTGGCCCATTTGCTGTTCCAAAACAGCAAAACATTGAAAAAAAAGGTTTAAAGAAATTAAAAAGCAAAGGAAGTCTCATTAAGATGCTACACGGCTGATCAGTTTTTAGGCAAATAAAACAACTCTGGTCTTTTAAGAAGAACATGTTTTCTTACTCAGCACTGTTTGAATTTGTTGTTATGCAAATCTGAAACTTTTGTTTAGCTTTAGCATTATTTCATTTATTGTGGATAAATTATAGAGCTCAGTTGGTACCCTAACTGTCACTTGGTTCGATACCTTTGGATATTTGTATAAAGACACTTAAGAATACTTACATTTCATTTTTGCCTTAGAGACTTGTATTGTTATGGACATTACGTTACAGACCCTTACAAAAATGATCATATCTTATTGTTAGTTTATTGCTATCTTAAAACTAGTTTCAACTATCTAAAATCTAGTTCCTCAACAAAACTCGCTATCTTTTTGCTATTTTAGAGTTTGAGCGGATAGTGCATAGCTATCTCTGTCCTAGTTTTGTGCTAACTATTATATATCTGCCAGGTAGTTAGGAAATAGATAGAGTATCTTAAAACTAACTACCTATGTAGATAGCAAAAAGATAGCCTAACCAACTACTATCTCAGCTATCTGAAAACTATCTTCAGTGGAGTTAGTTAAAAGCTAGGCTATCTGATTTCTATTTTCATTTTGTAAAGTTAAACTCTCTACTATCTTAGTACTAACTTAGTGGTAGATAGTAAAAAGATAGCCTATCTTAAATCTATCCATTGTCCATAAAGCCATTTAATATGCTATCCAAAAGCTATCTTGGAAAAGACAGTGAAAAGTTAGGCTATTTGAAAGCTATCTGTTTCTCATGAAACACTTTATAACCTATCTTAAAACTATCTTGAACATAGGTAGTGAAAAGATAGGCTCAAACCTACCAATATTAACTATAATATGGCACTTCTCAAAGTCGGCAAATAGTACTGTAATAACATAGGGTATCCTTATAATATTAAGCCGACCATTTCTATAGCAAATTATTGTAAATTCTATCAAAAAATAATTTGTCACGGTTAGTCAGCTAGCTGGCAATGCTCACTTATTTTATACACAGAAAGCTCGATTAATCAAGAATTGCACTGTATTTTAAACTTAATGTAAGACTGAGACGCTTTTATATATTAGTGCTTCACAAAACCATTTAATTCGAAAGTCACAGAGAATCACATCATCCACACCACAATTTCTCGATGGAGGCTTGCTTTGATTATTTCTTTTTTCGTTTCAGTTTCCTACACGTGTACCAACAGTACCTTGTAATAGTGAACAGCCATTTGCGAAAATTTTTCTTTAAAAAGCGTTGTGCTCAGTTGTGTGTTGGAGGACTGTAATAATTAATTATCGTGCCAAGCTCGATTACCTTCCACACGACACGATAATACTGTTACTGCAATATCAATCTTGATCAATCGCGTCTGACTCATTTTAAGAAGGCCTGTTTTTTCAAAATACCTGAATCTCCCTTTTGTGATCGCAGATGATGAAGGTGAACCGCTTTCTTTATGCTGAAAATAGAAATATTCCAGTACAAGGAGAGGATGCCTGAGGATCGAGTTCGCCAGCAGCCCTTAGTCTACGTCGAATCGATGACACGAATGCGAAATCTCTTTAACTCCACGATATCATATACCCTTTCGGAATTTTTTTCTCCGCTTGCACTGTCCTTCATAACCGAACTTTTCCTTTTTCTCAGCCATTTTGTTACTTTTTGGATTCATAACTGATATCTTTAAGCCTGATGAGCGCAAACAAGCAGTAGTTGACTCTCTGGTGCGGTACGTGACAACGGAAATACCGTTGACTGCCTTTCATCCGGGTCTTCGGTCAATTAAAAAATCGCGCGAAAACACAATGGCCTTTCATTCGATCTTCGGCAGTTGGAAGTAACCGTTGAAGTCGTGGGTCGGTTGAACGAAGGTCTAATCATCGTGGAGAGAGGATATCAAACTGAAAGGATTTACTCACTTCTTTAAGGTTTGTGTATAATTCACCTATTGCTTTAGTCGATTTAGTCGTAATGTGTGGGTTCTTCTTCGTTTTAAATTTTTCTTGAAGAAGCGGTACCAACGTTTAGTGTGACATTCAGTACAACTGGGAGCCAAGTCCGCAGCACACTGACCTTATAGTTTAACTCCTGATCAAGCTTGTCAGCGCTAAGAATGCCAGTTATAGTTTGTTCACTTTTGAAAGTCCTATGGGAAACGTATTCTTTAGCACAGTGGTTTTTTCTAAAAGTCTTGGTGCTACTGGAATGCGCCGCCTTTTCCGCTAAGATAAGATAAACAAATATTTGGAAGCACAGAATTGTCTTACTGTAAACAATTAAGTAAAAGTTGTTTGTGTTTGGTTTTAGACGGTTAAATTTTTTTTCTTTCATGGCTAGCTATAATTGTTCTTCTGTATTACACATGTAAAGAGAAACCGATCTAAGGGCAAATCGGGTTAATGGCTGCTCTTGAATAGATCCGCAGTATTCAAGTAGTGGCCGATAAATTTAAAAAACAATTAATACCATAAAGAACTCTTTAATGGCATAACTTTATTCTTATAATTGGCACATTGTTGACCTTTAATATTTATGTCTTCTTTGCAGAGCAAAAGGGAAAGGCAAGTGGATCAAAGCTTTCCGATGTAAAGAAGGTGTTGCGGATAAATTAGGAAGTGGCGCAGACATGCAGCTGAGTTCTTATATAAATTATTAAATACTAAAGTTGTATCAAATTTGATGTGAACACTAGTTTTTAGTTATCATACATCTAGTTTATTGCTATCCACACACTAGTTTTTAGTCATTAGACATCTATTTTATTGCTATCCAAACACTAGTTTTTAGATATCATACATCTAGTTTATTGCTGTACAAAGACTAGTTTTTAGTTATCAGACATCTGGTTTAAAGCTATCCAAACACTAGCTTTTAGCTACCAGACATCTAGTTTAAAGCTATCCGAACACTATCGTTCAACTAGTTTATGTCTAGTTTATTGCTATCTATCGTGCCACTAATACATGTAAATTGCTAGTTAACTTCTATCTAATGACTAGTTTCTAACTATGTCAATGATGTCATTATTGGCAAAAACGTATCCGAAAACTAGCTTCTTAGCCGATAAAAAGCTAGTTTTACTCTATCTTATGTGTATCCAAAAGCTAACTATTGCAGCGATGCAAAAATTTCCTTTTTAAGATAGTATTTAGATAGCCTATCTGCATGGTTCCAAATAACTAGAAATTAGTTATTATTAAGATAGGCTTAAGATAGTAATAAGATATTAGTGGCTACAAAGGGCATAAAGATAGGAATAAACTAGAAACAAGATAGCTTGTAGATAGTTTCATTAACTAGCTTTGAGATAGAAAAAAGATAGTGTCTCATTTCGTAAGGGGACATTACCTATCTTTGAAATAGTTTCTATGATTGAAAAGCCTACTAGAAATAAAAAGCTTATCAGACAAATGATGTTACTAACAAATCCAAGGAGTAGGACAAGTTATTTTCAATTGATTAAAGGATGAAATCCTGTCTGACGCAAAGAAAGAAGTGAAATTTTGTTACGGACATTACTCATCTACGTAGATATTTTCTACTAACCAAAAATTGGGAAAAATTATCGAAAACCATCAAATTTTTTTCTCATGTGAAAAAAAGGCTTATGCTCTAATTATACCTCAGTTTCAGTGGACTGCATTAATTTTGATATTTTGACAAATTGTTCCTTAACTTGCACCTGTGGGTCCCATGTTTTCCTTGTTTATATTACCTATTGAGTAGTAGATCGCCTGCGGAGTGCATAAGGGCGAAAACAGAAATGACATGTATGTTTTTAATACAATGATGTGTCTTCTCTTTAATGGCACAGAAATTAATTCCAATATCCTTCTTTTAAAAATGATTGATTTTTCACCTCTCATGTGGAATTGCCCAAAGTACCATTTGGAAATGAAGTCCTCTTAATGGAAAATGCATAGTGTCTAAAACTATTACAATAATAAATTTAGACAAGAAGGTTAAATACAACTGTAGTGGATTTTCTTGTAAATCTTTTACCAGAGACTGCGCAACAATTAAAAGCCATTGCATGACGAGAAATTCAAAAATAATTTCCAGTCACTTTAACTGACATTCAAAAACAAAAAAGAAGGAAAGAAGGAAATGCTTAATGAGTGTCTATCTGACAAAGGTACGGCAAACCTTTACATCCAATTTTTTTGATTTAAAAAAAAAACAGATCTAAATATTAGTACAAGATCTATATCAGAGATTTTGACGCTGTTCAAAAAATTTGCAGTCATGTATAATCAGAACCTGGAAATACACTCAGGCTGGTCTTTTAAACAATACTTCAAGTTTGATTATAGAATGAGGCACATACATTATTATTTAAAAGGTAAAATCATGTTTATCTCTCCTAAAATTTTTAAGATATTCACAAAGTACAGGTCACATTCCCCAGGTAATAGGTACATGTCACTGCTCCATAGATGAATTGCCAAACCACACAGATTCCCCTCTATCTAATGGAGCATTTTGTTAAGAGTTTAGGGCTTGCAAACACTTTTAATACTATTCATTTGTCTGTATCATGGTGAACTGTACTCTGACAGTGTGGAAAAGTTACCTGTATTTTAGACCCTACTCAACAAAATTTC